GAAAATAATGTGTTTTTTTAACCTTAAACTGATTTCATTAATTTCATTACACCAAATACACCAAATAATGTTCTTTTTAGCAACATCATATGACCCCTTTAATGGATCTGAGCTGACACGAACTATGTACAGCTGTATTTTTATTAACTAATGTAAACAAAGATTTATAAATATAGTAACAAATGTCTTGCTTAGTGTTAATATTAATGCAATAACTAATGCTAATAAATGGGACCTTGTTGTAAAGCCAAGTATTACCAAGATCTTTTGTAACATTATTAATGTCTTTACTGTCATTTTTGGTCAAATTAATGCATCCGTGCTAAATAAAAACATTAAATTCTTACAAAAAGGACCCCAAACTTATAGTGGCGTATATGTACCAATACATAGTAATAAACAGCAGTATTTTTATGTGGACATTTCTGTGGACATTTTTTGAGCAGTGACTCAAACAAATAGTTGAAAATAGTTAAATGAATCAATTTTTTGAAATTACTTTTTAATTAGCTTTTGAACTTTGCTATTAAAATAGCTCTGAGTACGCTCTCTTACTTGCAAGACTTGAACCAAGAAGGAATAGTGAATTCCTTCACGAACATGTATTTTGCCATCATAATCATCCTCTGAACATTCCGTATATCATCCTGTTTTGATGTTAAGAAGAATAGCATGTCCTGTCCTCATCCCAGTGTGTCTATTTCAGGTGGAGTTCCTTTCATAGAGCAGCACAGTGGAGGTTCTTCTACTCTTCCTGGTTCAGACAGTGCAGCGTCCTCCATCTCCAGCCCCACCACTGACAGTGACTTAGACACCGGCTCTAAAACCACGTCAAAGGAAGATCTCACAGATCTGGAGCAGAGCAACTCAACGGCCACCACTCCCATGACACCCTCCGCAGAGCCAGGCAGACTGGAATCACAGGTATCCCTCAGACCGTCAATAAACTATCCAAGTGCATGTGTTCAGAGTTTGATGGTATGGTGCACTGTGTCGTCAGTCTGAGGGCAGGGAAGTGGAGCGTGCCCAGTCGGCCTCAGTCGAGTCCATTCCTGAAGTCCTGGAAGACCGAGACTTGCTGGCTGACCAGTCGGATTCGGCATCAGTTCACGACATGGACTACGTGAACCCGAGAGGTGTGCGCTTTACACAGTCCACCCAGAAAGAGGGTAAGAGGAATAGTGTATCCAAAATTTATGTCAAAGGCCTGATGTCAAAATGGCTTCACACCAATTGGTACCTTTGTGTTTCTCCAGGTGCTGCTCTAATCCCGTACGGTCTCCCATGCCTGAGAGAGCTCTTCCGGTTCCTCATCTCTCTCACCAACCCACATGACCGCCATAACTCTGATGTGATGATGCATATGGGCCTCCAGCTGTTAAACGTGGCCCTAGAAGCTGCACACATCGCCCCCTACCAGTCATTGCTCTGTCTTGTCAAAGATGAGCTCTGTAGGCACCTCACACAGGTGAAACTTTGTTCTTCTCTAATCTAACTTGTGCATTTCTCTGATGTTTTCAGCTGTAGTAAATATTCTCTGTGTCTCTTTGTAGTTGTTGAGCGTGGACCGAATGAATCTGTATGCCGCCTCCATACGCGTGTGTTTTCTTCTCTTTGAAAGCATGCGAGAACATCTGAAGTTTCAGCTTGAGGTACGTGACTGAACTATGATCTTCCTGTGGTGAGATACAAGTCATCTTAGATGCAAGAAGTCGTTCTTTGTATGTCTCCACAGATGTACCTGAAGAAGCTAATGGACATCATTACCTCAGAGAACCCTAAAATGCCCTATGAGATGAAGGAGATGGCTTTGGAGGCCATCGTGCAGCTCTGGAGAATCCCCAGCTTTGTCACAGAGCTCTATATAAATTACGACAGTGACTTTTACTGCTCCAACCTGTTTGAGGACCTCACCAAACTGCTCTCTAAGGTGAGTGACTCCAACTCAGGGACTAGTGAGAGTTTGAAAATAGTCCTTGGATACTATTTGGTGCCTCTAGTTATGTAAAGTTTAATTGCATTACCTTTTGATAAATATTTTGTGAACTACACAAAGTAAAAAAAAAAAATCACATAATGACATTATAATGGATTGAAAATGTATCAGTTGTGGAAAATACACTTTTGTATTCGATTTTGTATCAGTGTTATTTTAATAACACTAAGACTACTATTATTATTTAAAAAAAATAGTTTTTGTATTTTCTGTTTTTTTTATGAGAAATGTTTTTATTAATAGTTATTTTATTTATAGTAACTAAAACCATAAAAAAACTATAATAACCCAGCTTTGTATTATGATTCCGTGCTCCTCGTTCATAACAATTTCAGCATTTAAGCAGTTAAACTGCCATGGGCTGATGATTGCATTGCCAATTTAAATTTTTGAAAGAATCCTTTTTACAAGCACATTGCTACAGGGATTAGGCTATACATGCTTTAGCAAAATGCATTACACTGACATTTCTTTTATTTGTATTTATCTTTTTATTACCATTATTATTTTTTACAGAAGAGGTTTCACCTCTAATTGAAATTCCTGAACGTTTCTGACATTATGATGAAGTTGATTAATAGTGCTTTTGTACTCCAGAATGCCTTTCCAGTGTCTGGGCAGCTCTACACAACCCATCTCCTGTCACTCGAAGCCCTACTGACAGTGATTGACAGCACAGAGGCTCATTGTCAGGCCAAAGTGCTCAACAGCGCTGCACAGCAGGACCAGTCAGAATCAACGACAGTAGGAGGAGACAGTTCGGTCAATACAATCACCGATTCAACAACAGGTGGGCAGAATCAAGAATCCCAGAGAAACACTAACAGAAGCGATGTAACAAATGTAAAAAAAGGAATTCGCTTTTTTGTTTCTCATAATGGCAAACTCTTCTTCCTTTGTTCACTGCATACAGAGGCTGGCAAATCTGCACCCAGTTCTAATAGGCAGAATGCTGTAGTGTCAGACACGAGGACTGCCTGTCCTCCCACCAGTGGTCATCTGATGGCAGAGAAGATGAGATTAGATAGACAGGACCAGGAGGAGACAGATACGGGTACTTTACTGATGTTTTGCCTGTGAAATGCAACAAACAACCAAGACAGAATACTCACTGATTTGCAATAAACATTCAGGGATTTAAAGTAATCAAATGCTGCTTTGTCTTAATCCTGCAGAGAAGAAAAGCTTGAAGAAGCCTCATCGCTTCACCAGCTGTCTTCCAGACTCTCAGGAACTTTTAGAGATCAAGAACAAGAAGAAGGTGAGCTGTTCATGTGCAGTTATTTGCTTTGTGAATATTAAAACCTTCAAATTTGTACTAAAATGACATGTTTTCTTCATACTTCAAAGCTTCTGATCACGGGTACAGAGCAGTTCAATCAGAAGCCCAAGAAGGGAATTCAGATCCTGCAGGAGAAAGGCCTGCTCAGCAGCCCCATGGACAATAATGAAGTGGCCCAGTGGCTGAGAGAAAACCCCCGCCTGGACAAGAAGATGATCGGAGAGTTTATCAGTGACCGCAGGAACACTGACTTGCTCGACAGTTTTGTCAAGTAAACCTCCTCTTTATAACATGTGTTTTGGTATGCTGCATATGGCCAACTCAAAAGCATCAGTCGGAGATGTAGTTTGTTACTACAGTTGTTGAAAATAGTGAAGAAATGTTAAGAAAAAAGAAATTATGTTCTGTTTAAAAGCAATGAAACCCATTTTAGGATTACTTTAAGAAAAATGGTCACACTTTATTTTAAGGTCTAATTCTCGCTACTAACAAACCACTAACTACGACTTTTGCTTCAACAAACTCCTAATTTGCTGCTTACTAATAGTAAGGTAGTTGTTAAGTTTAGGTATTGGGTAGGATTAGGGATGTAGAATATGGTCATGCAGAATATGTGCTTTATAAGTACTAATAAACAACCAATAATAATAATAGGCATGCTAATAAGCAACTAGTTAATAGTGAGAATTGGTCCCTAAACTAAAGCGTTTACAGAAAAAATAATTTCTTATTATAATGTGCAATAAAATGTGGAAAATGTACTCTATTACAGTATTAAAAATCAAATGAGAATAACCACTGAATATTTAAAGGCATAGTTCACCAAAAATCTCATCCTTGAAAGAAAAACCCTCGCCCTCATGTAGACTTTTTCATCTTCACAAATGAAGGTATTTGTAATGAAACCTGAGAAACTTCTGTCTCTCCACTGAAAGTCCATGCAACTTTCAAGCTTCAAAAAGTTCATAAAGACATCTTAAAAGTTATCCATACGAGTCAAGCGGTTTTTAATCCAGGCCTTCTGAAGAAATAATTTTATGTGATGTACAGATTTAATTTAGGCTTTTTTTTTTGTAACATAATAAGTGTATATATGTATGTGTATATATAAATATGGTCATGGTCCTAAAAAATAAATAAATAGAGTTATTACAGGTTTAAAGTGAGTTGGGAGGACCATTAAATCAGGCTTAAAGTGAGTTGGTAGGACCATTAAATCAAGTAGTTGAGATGGTTGTGGTGTTAACATTCGTCAACACCAACTTCTTGTTTTTCCAACTTCTTGTCTGAGTCTAATACCTGAAAATTGGACATGATCCTTTAGCTATAGATGTTATTCTCGCTCATGATTACTATCAGGCTCAAAGTAACTGTCAGTATGGAGCTTGAGATAATTATACCTTAAAGTTATTTTAAGGCCATCTCTATCTCTTCCTCAGCACGTTCACCTTCCAGGGCCTGCGCATAGACGAGGCGCTCCGCTTGTATCTGGAGGCATTCCGTCTTCCTGGCGAAGCGCCTGTCATTCATCGGCTCTTGGAAACCTTCACTGACAACTGGCAAGTAAGTCAGCTGCCACACACACACACACACACACAAGCACGGACTGGCAAGGACTGACATGAATATATATACACTCGAGCGGGAACACACACATATACTCTTTAAATAGGTTGTAGGTTTGCTGCAGTCACAGACACAAGCATTCTTACAGTTCTTCCATTACCACACTCCAAGGCAAGCCTGGCCACCAACTGGCCCCATCATCAGGTAATTAGGGCCAGCGGAACAGCAGTTCGCTCGGGATCAAGGACGGGGTCATTAGTCACGCAGGTAATCGGGGAAGAGGAAAATGTTGCACTGGGAAGTGAGACACATCCATCTGGCCTGCAGAAAGCAGCTCAGGCGATCCGAGGACATTTCGAACACGCTCACTTACTGCATATTAATGGCAGCTCTCTGCGGGTGACCTGGAAAGTATTCGTAGAAATTTCTTTTCTTAGGCGCCATTCTCAATCACTACGTAGACACAGGGGTTTGTGCCCTCCCCGAAGCAGCGATGTATTGAAACTGGAATGGATTCAGTGTCTGACATTTACACTAGTAGGAGATCCCGGAGGAATTACTGTGCCCTTTTATGCTTTTCTAGTGGCGAATGATCTTCAAAACGCTCCTGTAAAGATGAGCGTACATATTAGGTGATTTGATGATGCTATTCTTGCGCTCGCAGTCAATTGTATGGCCTTGTTCTTTTGTGTGCAGAAAGTGAACGGTAATCCCTTCCAGTCAAACGATGCTGGCTTCGCCCTGGCTTATGCAGTCATCATGCTAAACACCGATCAGCACAACCATAACGTTCGAAAGCAGAACATCCCCATGACGTTGGAGGTGAGCCACACATGTTCCTGTTAACCACATGGACATCCAAAAGTCATTCACATGTTTAGGGCCACACATGCAATCCCTTTCTGAGAGATCAGTTTCGGCTCTATGACTTGACAGTTTAAGATAAGTGTATTACGTGTTATTTATGTAAGTATGTTATGAAACAATCTCTCTAGATTTGCCACACATGCAGATTACTGTTATGTAGCCATGTCTCACTTTTACGTGCTTCAAACAACTGGCCTCGATTTAGTGGAGCTTTAAGCTCAGCCACAGCAGTTGCACATTTACAAACATATTATTAATGATTTCAAAGCAATTTTTGCTTTTTGTTGTTGTTGTTGTATATTATGCTTAACCATGTTTATATATCATGCTTTATCGAAACTAAAGTCCTATAACTATCAAATGTATTACAATAAGAAACTACTGGTGAATCTCATGAGACCCAATAAAAAAAAAATCATGTTTTACACCAAAAGCAAAAAAAAGATCAGTTATGAATTTATATTGAAATATTTTTGTCTCATTAAGATTTTTTTGCATTGTGACATTGACAGTTAAGCAAATGTCATTACTGTAATACAAAAGTCCTGTTGTCATTACCATAATAAAATAAATAAATAAAATAAGTAAATAAATAAATTAAAACAAAAAAATATAAATATTTATTCTGATTACCTAAATGTGAAAAAATATATGCACTACATTTTTAAATGTTTGGGGATCAGAAATGACAGTGCAGAAATATGAAAGGAAGAATATTACAAAAGATTTCTGTTTCAAATAGTAAATTATTTTTGAAGGAAATATTGTCACACGACACTGAAAACTGGAGTAATGATGCGGATAAATATATTGCATTTTAAAATATCTTAAAATAGAAAACATGTTTTAAATTGTAATAATATTTCACAATATAAAATTTTTACTGTATTTTATATCAAATAACATGAGCATAAGAGACTTTTAAAAGCACAATGAATATTTTTTTTAAAAGCATGAAAGAAATCTTACCGACCCCAAACCTTTGAACACTGTGTATGTATACGTGCGTGTGTTGTATACATGTATGTATTGTATTTGTTGTTTAGGAATGATATTACAGTACTATAATTATGTATAGAAAATATTAAGTAATGAGTATAGAATTGCTGTATTACAGTATAATAATGGGAAATACAAAAATAATTGATGGAAATATGCTTGATTTTCGCCTTCATGGTTCTAAAAATAGGCTTAAAACACAGGCTAAATAAAAAAGGAAAAATCTATTAAATTAATAATAAATCCTTTTTATTTTTATTTTTTTTTGCCTTTTTTTGTTTTGGTGTGAAATGTGACCTGGACATGTTTTCATGAGATTCACCCTTAGATACGTGGCTGCGGCTGGTGGCATCTTTTCATCGGCGCCCACAGACACCTTGAGTTTTCCATGCATTAGCACCAGATCCATTTAAACAGATGATCACACAGATCTTCCTGCTAAAAGCACTGGTGTTGTAAAGGAATACAGGGAGCAGTGGGAATGGTAATCAGCAGGTATTCAGCCTGAGCACAGAGGGGATAAGCGGCGGCGAAGTGAAAGGCGAGCAGCAGGAGGCGGGACTGGGCTTTTGGCAGACGGCGCGTCCAGCTGTCTTGTCTCTGTGTCAGCTAGCGTGTGTGCGTCTGCTCCGGCTCTCCAGCCATGGAAAATGCAGTCCTGGAAAGACCCTCTGTTTACTCCTCTGTTTATTTCTCCTTCTGTTCATCCCTCTCTCGTGGGGCAGCTCAGGTTTCCCTTGCTTTACCTGCCATTAAGAAAGTATGCAGTAAAACAGTGGCCTAACGCCATCACTCAGCAGCGGACGTCTGTGTGTTTATTTGAGCTGAGGTTGGCCTTAGACCAGCCTGCTTAACACTAACACCTATTAAGTGACACCAGCAGTAATAAACCGAGACCAATTATTGGATTTGAAAGGTGATAGTCGGAGGATGTCGCTGTAATTGGATGGAATGAAGGCATTTTAATCAGTTTCCTCCTCCTGTTTGTTGTTTTGTTTTATTTGTCTAGCAATTCAAGAAGAATCTCAAAGGTGTGAATGGAGGAAATGACTTTGATCAAGACATGCTGGAAGACATCTACAATGCCATCAAGTTAGTTATTGCTTTAGTGCTCACATATAGTTTTCATGATCTCTTACTTATTGAACACTTGTAATATGATTATATAAAATATAACTGGTAATTTGACATACAATAAATGTTTTTGTGAACTTCAGGCTAATAAAACCACATTCAGAATGTTAGGGCTCAACACGGATGACCCACTGACTGTTGATAGTGTACAAATGGCTCACAAAATTAACATTTGATTTTCTTTGTATTGAATTTTGTCTGGCTGACATATAGCGTGTTAGTTTTTTAGAGATTTGTGAGACTGGTAGTCTTGGACAGATCAAATTTTATGCCATTGTTTGGCAGCAAAAGTTTATGAGCTAATAAATTTATTGCTGTACAATTTCCAAGTATTACAAATGAATAATGATAAAATATTTGATTTTACATGCATTCAGAGTGTAATACAATACCTTTCAAAAGTTTGGTGTAAGTAAGTGTAAGATTTTTTTAAATATTACTGAAAAGAGGTCTCTTCCACTAACCAAGACTGCATTATATAATAAAAAAATACAATAAAATCAGTAATTCTGTGAAATATTATTACCATTTAAAATAACTGTTTTTGATTTGAATATATTTTAAAGGTAATTTATTCCTGTGAGTCAAAGCTGAATTTTCAGCTGAGCTCCAGTCTTCAGTGCCACATGATCCTTCAGAAATCATTCTAATATAAGTAAAACATTTCTTATAAGATCAGCAACAATGTAACTATTTGTAACAAAATCTTTACTTTAATTGTTGATCAATTTAATGCATCCTATTATAAGAACAAGTACCAATCTGAACAGCTGAAAAAGTCCTTCTTGATGAGCTCTTATGTTTATTATCTCTGTTATAAACCTCATGTCTCTGGTCTTTAAGTGTATGGATATATTGATGTATACAATGGCTCAGATGGGATAAGCCGAAATATATGTATGTGGTCCTGCAGGAACGAGGAGATTGTGATGCCTGATGAGCAAACGGGGCTGGTGAAGGAGAACTATGTGTGGAGTGTTCTGCTGCACAGAGGAGCCTCGTCTGAAGGGATATTCCTGCATGTGCCTGAAAGCAGTTACGACCGCGACCTCTTCACCATGACCTGGGGACCCACCATTGCTGCCCTCTCCTACGTTTTTGACAAGAGTCTAGATGACACTATCATTCAGAAAGCCATCGCTGGGTTCAGGTAAGACCTGCAGATTGGTAGACTGGTTTTGCACAGAGCTTTTAAAGGGGTCATATGATGCGATTTCAAGTTTTCCATGTTAAAGGTTCTTTATGGAACCATTTAGACTAAAAGGTTCTTCTATGGCATCGTGAAGCACCTTTATTTTTAGGAGGGCATGGACGAGTCTTAACTTTTATAAAGAATATCTCTTTGGGTTTGAGAGACTGTAATCTGTAATCAAATGTATACGCAAAGAAAGAAGGCGTAACTTTGATTCTTGCTGTAGTATTGCTGTTGCCGCCTCCGCCATGTTGTGGAGACGCTGTGTGTTTCGTTGTGAAAGCGAAACTACTTTGTTTGGCCTTCCAAAAGAGGACACGACTAATAATCAGTGGTTAAGCTGTATTTACAACACTGTTCCAGAACAGTTTAACCCATATATTTGTGTGTGTGCAACGCATTTTATGGAGGACGAGGACTTTCCATTTCCTGGGAGAATGTCGGTTTTCTGACAAATAATGCTGACTCACAGGCTTTAAGTATGTTTTCATATTTAAAGGATTTGCCACTGACGATTCAAACGCGAGTTTTGAGCAGTGTAGAGTAGCGCTTGTTTGTCGTTTCTCCGATCACAAATGCAGACATAGTTTTGTTTACACGGCGCGATGCAATGCAACGCAACGCGTAAAAAGACAGTATAAGTCATTATAATCAGTAATTACGTCCCCACTGGATGCTACAAATGCCTCATTTATAATGGGTCTTACTGCTTTTTTTAACCTTAAACTGCATAAACACATTTCATTACATCAAATACACAAAATAATATTTTTTAGCAACGTCATATGACCCCTTTAAATCAAAACTAAACTGGGTTTAATGATTGCAAGAGTTTTGTTTCTACAAACGATTTTGCTGAAGATGCCACACTCCTTTTTCTTTCTTTCAGGAAATGTGCCATGATCTCTGCACATTATGGCTTCAGTGATGTCTTTGATAACTTGATCATTTCACTCTGCAAGTTTACTACTCTGAGCTCTGAGGTAAGACCTAAAGCATCCTGATCAGATGCATTCAGTCTTCTGCAGCAGCTTTAAGTTGTGAGTGAACAGATCTGATTGGGATTTGTGTGCCTTTAGTCTGTAGAGAACCTGCCCACTGTGTTTGGCAGTAACAGGAAGGCTCAAGTTGCTGCCAAGACCGTGTTCAGCCTGGCCCATCGTCATGGTGACATTTTACGAGAAGGATGGAAGAACATCATGGACTCCATGCTGCAGCTTTTTAGAGCTGAGCTCTTACCCAAGTCCTTGGTTGAGGTGAGATGGGAGTGCCAACATATCACTTTAAATCCCCGAACAAACACTTGCATGCTTAGGAGAAGGTAGTCCTATTTAAATCAGGCAATAGTGCCACCTACTGTCACATTTGAGAAAATATGTCATTCTTGTTGGAAGGTTGAGGACTTTTTGGACCCTAATGAGAAGATTTCCTTACAACGTGAAGAGACACCATCAAACAGGTATATTGAAGATAATCTTTGAAAGTACTTCAGCTTTTTTTAAATATACACACATGCTTCCAGGTTCTTTAGACAAGCTGCTTTTAGTGATCGACATTAAAAGCACTATGGCTCTAAAGATCTGTTATCCTCATCTGTTGCATTATATAATGCATTGTTTATTTTAGTTATCACATAGGTATTACATAGTTATTATACCTGTGAATTCTAGTGCAGTAATATATACACTTTTTAACTTATTTTGACAGACATGTTGAAAGCATTCTCACATTTGTTTTGTGAAATGTGGCATTTTTTATTGCTTATATGCACGTTTGGCCACAAGTAATGCATTTGATTCTACAAGGTACTAAAACATTGAAAATAATTGTAAAGATGCATATTATCAGTATTGCTCGGTTTTATTAGTGTTTCTTCACTAAACCATAATGTACCATAATGCTGCAGAGACTGGGTATGCTATGTAGTCGATGAACGTGTTTCACTGTAGGTTTGTTAGTGTTTACACTTTAAAAGTGAAATTCAGCCAGTTTGATGTTTGTGTGATGCCCTAATAGATTCATTTAAATCTTATAAGAACAATAATGTTGATCGTGATCTGTGAAATATCATAATTTGTGTAAAATTGTAATCCACCTAATCAGGATATCTAAATCTTGCTGGAAATCTAAAAAAGCCCAAATCTTGACAAGTCTTTTGGAAATGTGTGTTTAACCCACACATAGGCCTGTCACGATAACAACTTTTTGTTGTGCGATATAATAATGGGCGATATATTGCGTCACCAAAAATAATTGAGGTCATGTACATATATTGCGCGATAAGTCGGTATATTGATTATTGCGACAGGCCTACCCACACAGTCATTTGTCATTTTCAGCTCAATTTGATTTTTAATCTAAATCTAAACCAGCTCTTTTGTGATGTGCCTGAAGGTCCTGGATGAATTAGTTAAGTTAATCTATTCTTTTCTACTGCTGTACTTCTATCAGGGGTGAGTCGGCTGTATTGAGTTTTGTGAGCTGGTTAACATTGAGTGAACAGTCTGGGCTCAGAGGCCCCTCCACTGAGAACCAGGAGGCCAAACAAGCTGCCCTGCTCTGCATAAAGGTACAGAACACACATTCACTTACAAAAGGCATTGCGGTAAGAAGTCGGTCTGAATCATTACTCCATCTGAAAAATATGCTGGCCTACATGAATAAAATAATTTTCTCACATTTCTTCTTTCTTCACGTCAGCACTGTGACCCAGAAAAGCTGATTACTGAAAGCAAGTTTCTGCAATTGGAGTCTTTACAGGAACTCATGAAGGTGAGGTCCACTTAGAAAGGCTGGGTTTATACAAGAACGAAACCATTTTCTTTCTTTAGTGTATTACTTACAGTATTACTTAAAGGTTTGTTCGTTATGTAATTTTTATGTTTCCAGGCTCTCATCTCGGTGACCCCTGATGAGGAAACATACGATGAAGAAGATGCTGCTTTTTGTCTGGAGATGCTGCTACGTATTATTCTTGAAAACAGGTACTGCACTCATTAACACATTGCATTACTTCATTGAGAATTACTAGTCCATGGAGTCAGACGAAGATACGGCAGCTTGTAGATTTTAATAGACAGATGACTGTGTGTTTGCAGGGACAGAGTATCATGTGTTTGGCAAACGGTACGGGATCATCTGTACCAGTTATGCGTCCATGCCAGTGAGAGCTGCTTCCTGGTGGAGAGAGCAGTGGTGGGATTGCTCAGACTCGCCATCCGCTTATTGCGCAGAGAGGACATAGGCTCACAGGTACACACACTCGACACATACAGTACAAACTCTAAAGTGGGAAGCGGGCCAAACGGGCATCTAAGCGGTTTCTTCCCTCTCTGCACAGGTTCTCCTCTCTCTTCGCTTGCTGTTGATGATGAAGCCTCACGTCCTGTCCAGAGTCTGTCGAGAGGTGGCCTATGGCTTGCATGAGCTGCTTAAAACCAATGCTGCCAACATCCACTGCACTGACGACTGGTACACGCTCTTTTCACTTTTGGAGTGCATCGGGGCTGGGATCAAACCTCCGGCTGCCCTACAGGTTGCCAACACCAACCCAGACAATGACACAGGTGAATCGGTCATTTCTAACCATTTTGTCTGTTAGTGCACCTCAAGACACAGTCGAGTGTGGCCTAAAGTCCTTTTCCAGATGGGCTCATCTTGTGTAATCCTTTTGTTCCAGGTGCTCAGTCAGATAGCGAACTGAGTTCATATCATCAGAGTGAAGTTAGTCTTGACCGGGGATATACGTCTGACTCTGAGGTTTACACCGAGCATGGCAAATCCAGAATACCTCTTTCAGCTACCGATGTGGATGTGGGCTGGCTAGTGGTAAGTGTTCACATAAAACCCCAGACAGGAAGTGTGTTAGAGACCAATCCACCCTCACTAAGGGCAGTGTATGTCCTGTCATTATTATGCATGTTGACTTGGATAGACGTATAACTTCTTTCTGTTTTGGGCAGGTGGGTAAAGATGATCTGGATGGATCTAAGGCAGCAGTCACTCCAGGTTCAAAGCCCCTGACCTATCCTCTCATTAACCAGTACAGTTTAACTCTTGGGCAGGACATGGGTCTGCATGACACCAAATCCCTCATCAAGTGCGTGGATTCGCTTTCATTCATCGTACGCGATGCCGCCCATGTCACTCCAGAAAACTTTGAACTTTGTGTTAAAGCCATACGAGTGTTTGTGGAGACTAGCCTTAATGGAGGTACGTATCTCTTATACACCAAAGTACCAGAGTCAGAAATTAACTGGGGCTTTTGGTAAAAACGCCACTGAAATTAATAAAAGTTCCCTAAAATTCAAGATACAAGATCAAAAAATTCCCCTGTATTAATGCTTGTTAAATTTCTAACATATGATATAGTTAAGCAATATCACATGAGCAAGAGTGCTGTTTTTCGCAAATATCAGCACAATTGGAGTTTTGGTTTTGATCAAATTGATTGAGTGAATAATTCAGTGACCCATTCATACAAAGTCCCTTGCTTCATTCCTGATTGAATCAACCCTTTTCAACTTATTGTTTGAATGAATGATTCAAAGACTCACTTAAGACAGTAACGTATTGCCACTTAATGGTGGTTTTAGCTTCATATATATATACTGATTATGGTGATCATTGACACTGAAACCTGCCCATCTTGTGTGAAACAAATGAATTATCTAATGAATATGAATTATCATCTTTACATAACCACATGACACAGCCATTGCTCCAGTTTACATGTTGCCACATTAACAACATATTCAGTGTTGCCATAGTACAAGTTACATTTCAAACACTGAAATTGTAATTCCAAACAAACCTATTGGAGGACATTTTATTTAAACTTCATCTAGGAAGTTTGACTCCTTGGGGGATTAGAGTGTCTGCCTCACTTCCGTGGCTTTGTAATTGGATGTGTCAGTGCCTGTAAGCTCTTTCTTTAGTGCTGTATCTTGAGCTGTGCTCCATTGGTGAGTCATTTAACTTGGGGGCAATTCAACTGTCTTGTGTGCCCTCTCCATTTATCCTTCACTCTGTCTCTCAGTTCTTCTATCCGGGGTGGTCGGCGATCTACAGTAGGCTTAGTCAAGACTCATTCAGCACTCTGTAGCTCTGCTCTGCCAATCGGCATGGCCTTTTCATGAGCTGGAGGCCTCTGTTTACATGGGAAGATACCTGCTGTCATCAGGGGCTTACATGCTCACTTTGAGGGCGGCAGATCAAAGTTTTGTGTTTTGAAAATCTAATGGATGCAGTACTGCGATAATGATATGGTAGATATATGCTCTGTTCTTCTTTCACTGGAAACAGAACACTATTTTTGACTGCAATCCCAAAATTGACCAAGATTTGTCAGAGACAGCTTCTTCTAACCAGCAAATGAAAGGGTGTGAAGATGGGCAGTCACATTGAGAAAAAGGCGCTAAAAAAATCAGCACCTATGATTCATTCTCATCAAGCGGTGCAGGCTTTTACCATGCTTGACAGCTGTGAGAATGGGGCGGCGTGCATTTGAAAGCTTAATTTGATTTCCCTTGTTAGTCACTCTGTTGATTGTTTCCACGCCCTCCGCAGGGTACCGCACCCACGAGAAGAAAAAGAGCCACAAATATGACTCCAAATCCAGCCGGCTCCGAAAGAAGCCACGCGAGAAGGAAGGCACATCGCGGAGAACCAAAGCGTCCAGTCAGCGGCCCGCCCGTTCCCATAGCGACGATGAGGAAGATGAGGGCGTGCCGGCCAGTTACCACACGGTGTCTTTTCAGGTTAGTCTGGACGTAAGTACAACAGCCCTTTCCCTAATTCCTAGATCTGTCCATCGTCATGTTTGCCGATCTGCTCGGTGGGGGAGAGCCATGTGATCATTTCACATTTGAAACTCTACACTATAGTAGAAAAATAATTTTGTTTCGTTTAGGTTTGTTTCATTTTAGAACTTTTTAAATATTACTTGTCAATACTAATACCAGTACAGTTTCACAGTTCTTAAATAAGTTTTGATGCCACAGCAAAAACTAAAATGCTATTGAGCAGAGCTTCATTTAAAAAGCTAAACGTGAATTATTAAATAACAAAATGAATTAACAAAATTAATAGTTAATTAACAATTAAAACAAGAGTCCAAGTATTTCACAATTAAGTACACATTGATTTAAAGTAAGCAGTAATATGATAAAAAAAAAAACACAAGTAAATTTTTAGGTCTCTAACAACAGCATGAAGTATTCAAGTAAAAATTTAGAAGCTGACAAAAAAAGCTGAAAAGATATCTAATGTTTAATTAAACTAATTAAGTTTTGACTGCATTGTTATTAGATATTAATACAAATTTGTCTGAATCTCACTGAGAAGCTGCTGTTGCATTGTAATTAAGATTATCCGTAATTTTTTTTCCCTTTAAGGCTAACTTTGTATTAATTTTTTATCTTTAAATGTTTTCAATAATTTTTTATAGATACAATTATATTATTACTGAATTTAATTTATTGTACATATTGCCATATTTTGCTTAAAGAAAATCAAGCCTATTTTTGTGACATTATTTTCATGATGTTTTTATTCATGACTAATTTTCACACCTCCTTCTAATTCTTAGTTTCTTATTTACAAAATCTCCTTTTTATTACAGTAATGAAAAAAAAAATATATATTTATTTAAATATGTGAAGTACATTTGGAAAATCCAATTATCGTAGTAGTATGTTGTACTGCTGTTAAAAATAATCGTCTCTGACCAAGATGATTTTTATTGATCACAGTAATGACTGAGGGTTTTTATGCCATTAAATATTGATAGAAATATGCTCAATTGTAATTTAAAAAGGCATATTACAAAAATGTTAATTATTCAAATATAGCCTTTTTTTCTGTATGAATATGACCCGACATGTCTTTGTGATGTTTGCCTGGGGAAGCATGCTTTCCCCGTATTCATAACCTGAATAGTGCACATAAAAGCAATATCATGATGTCTGAACAGTATCAAATGTATAGCATGATTTTTTGTGCTTTGTCATGTTCTTTTCTGCCTGTTTACCTGTCATGTCTCAGTAGTGGTTGTAAAACAATCATTTCTATTGTCCCTATTAATAAGATGAAAGTGAGTCTGTTAGAAAAGCAAATATTAATTTAATACACCAGATATGCCCCTGAGTGTTCAGTGATTATTAAAACAGCCTGTTTGCCCATATAGTTGTTAGACCTGATGCATACACTGCACACGCGAGCAGCCGGCATCTACAGCTCGTGGGCAGAGGAACAGCGCCATCTAGAGGATGCTGGCAGAAAGATCGAGGCAGACTCTCCAACACTATGGTCCAGCTGCTGGTGTCCTCTCCTTCAAGGTCAGAGACTAGCCAAAAAGCATACTAGCAAGCCTCAGTGTCAATTACAAATGCGTAGAATAACAAAGTTTTTGTTGTAAACTAAGTGATAATTTCAT